CTACAAAAGTTGTCACAAGAATGTTGAGTTGAGGGGAAAACAGACCCCAAGCGGGACTCGAACCCGCATCTCCCATCCGGGTGAGTGCGCTATCCGTTACGCTACCGAAATCAGTCTTACCCTCCCAGCTTATTGGCCCTCCCTTTACAAAAAGGTAAAGAGGAAGGATGCAACAAATAAGGAAATGTAATGGTGGATCAGGCTCCGCCCATACTATCAGCGTGGACCGCGGGTCTAAAGATGTCGAGACAACTGTCACGAGCTCCTTTAGAATGACCACAATGGCGCACTTTCTCGATCAGCAGGAGATGCGAGTACGAGTCTCGCCTGGGGTCTGACTTTTGCCCAACTCAGCATTCTCGTGCTAAGTGTATCTAGCATTGTTCAGGTGGCTGCGAGGAATGCACGACGTCATTGATGGCCTTCTGCGATTTCCAGAAGCAAGAATGTCTTAGTCGGATGGTTGAATCGGCAGACTGCTCCGGATTCTCTGCGATCGATCCATGCTATGCTTCGAAATGCACGAACGGGATCTGCCTGGCAGTGCCGGAAAAGCCGCTGGCAGACTTCAGAAGTACGCCAACGAGAGGAAAAAAACTCGCTGAACGAGCGGCAACCGCCAGGGCTAGCCCAGTCCCCACTACTACTACCACCACCACCACCTCGACCACCACAACACCCCCACCAACAACGACCACCACAGAGCCACTCGTGGACGATGTGGAATGCATACTGATCGTTGCCGTTGGTGATGACGAGCAGCTGGATGGCGACGATCCGATTACGGAATTCTGGGGCTCTACTGGGAGCATCTCCAAGCCGTCACAATCCGGGACAAACACCCCCGCTCCTTCCCACATTTCCATAAAGCCACCTGACGCCATCTCAACAGTACACGACAACTCACGAGACTTCTACAACGTCTCTTCGACCGACCTAAACGTCTCTAGCGAGTCACGTCTTGCCGAGACATCCGCTCCCACTGTGAACGAAAGCTCCCCTGTAAGCACAACCCTAACCCCCAATCGCAACTTCCAACAGTACTTTAACCCTCGGTTAAATACATGGGTTTACCCTTTCAACGCCACGTTACCATTCCCGTCAGTCTATTTTTCGATCTCGGTCATTGCCGGTGCGTATCGCTCACAGCCTCGTCCACAACGACTTGTCACCGGAGTCACGGTAGTAAGCCGTGGAGCTAATTTACCCAGTGGATATACTCATGTTATCGAGGTAAGCGCACAGTTCAATTTGCGCAGAAAAGCACGCGAGTGTGGTACATCAGGGACGCGCGCGGTCGCGGCGCGTCAAGGACCTATGGTTAGACCATAACCTTGTTTCCGAAGTCTTTTCGACATATTCACCGTAGATTCCTCATCAATCTTCATGTCACTGGGATGCCGCACCGCGACCCAACGCGTCTCTGGTGTACAAACTAACGCCTCTGGTCTAATTTCCTCGAGTAATCGATCCGTTCTCATTTTGAAATATGTAAATGTCAGGCATTATCACTTACCGATGGGCATGTGGTCCGCGTGCCGGACCCGATTGCCAGCGGTGTCGGCGTTGAATTCTTTCTAATCGTTCTACATAATGGACGTGAATGCGACCGAATGTGCTTGTCTAGACGACGTTACGTAAAGTGTAATCGGCCAACTGTACGTATGAGCAGATACCGCTCTCTGACTGACCCCATTATCTACTACAAGGTATGAATCCACTTGACTGTGACTTAAAGACACATTTCACGATGACTAGATGGGCGGAGACACCTTGCCACCTCTTTTCTCATTGGCACGCTCGTTTCTGCACCAGAGACGCAACAATGAGAGAAGCAAAACCGTAGGGTGTCTCCGCCCACCTAATCAGGGCGCACTATATCTTTAAGTCAAAACACCACAGAGCTACAAATCTTGTTTCAGACACCGAAACAAGCAATAGAACACCAATGGAAAGGTGCTGGCTCTTTCAGACGACGTACACAGGACCCTTTCGTCTTCACATGCTTCATTTAGTAATATGAAATAAACATGATTTACTTAACACTTTATCACTTCCCACATCACTTCACGACACATTATGTTTACTTCAGTTTCTTCTTGATGCGGAGGTCATTCGAGTGACCGCACTTCTTCTTTCTGCAGTTTGAGGCACGAGGTGGCAGGCGAGCATAGCATTTTCGGCAGATCTGCTTGTCACAGTTGTACTTCTGGGCCAGCTGGCGGAGAGAAGGCTCGATGATTCCTAAAACTCGCACAATCAATCTTTTACCCGTGAAAAGTCAAGCAATCTATACAAGGAATAGAAAAACTGAGTAAAAAGGGTTACAGTACTACGTGGCAGCAGAAGCCAGTCCCCTAATGGGTTTATTACCCCAATGTCTAATCCAGTTGACAATTTCAGGGGCCAGTGAACTTGGTGAACGAGGGCTTATATTGTGCCCAATTTTGTGCATTTATAGAGCCGATACATCTAAATTCACGCACGGTTCTCAAAGATACCGTACTGTATACTGTATTCCGCCCGTTTTCCAAACTTATAGTTCGTCGTATTGTCTACTTATATTATACAAGCTAATTTTAGAAACAAAAAAAAATGCTAGACATGGAGCGAACAGAGCGGAAACATTGTACTTTCAAAGATGCAATCCACTGTCCTTAAGGCAGCGTTCAGACTTCGCACGGCAGCGCTTCGGTCGCGCGTTCGACGCGATCGATGCAGTCGAAAGCATGCGCATCGATCGCGTCGAACGCGCGACCGAAGCGCTGCCGTCGCGAAGTCTGAACGCTGCCTAACATGCACAACCTGTCATGCGAAAAGTCTCAGCATG